AAAAGAATAAAGATCGTCTTAGCGTGCTTTGTACCGTTTTTAAAATTAAAACTCTATCCGAAATTACGGCAGTCTCGAAACTTTCTTTGCAAGTTATTGCTTAAAATCGCCACAGTACGGTTAAGCAAAAACTTAAACCCGATCGCTTCGCCGATCCACCTTACCCGTAGCTTCAGATCGAAAGCTCAGGTTACTCGAAGAATCCCTTCGGGAGCCCGCTCGTTTGTTTCGCAGACTCAGCTTACGGCACAAAAAGTCGTCGCAGCACACTTTATAACCATAGACAAGTGCATGTAACTCGGTGACTACGTGTCGTGTTGGCAAAAGATGTGGAAGGATAAAGGAAAACTGTCCCAGTCCCCGAAAGAAAAGGAGATGCTCGAGTTACTTCAGCGACTAGACTAAGTTCCCGGTAACGTCTTGAGAGTATTTTCAGAACTTCGCTGAAATATTCCGCACGAGAGAGAGAGAGAGAGAGAGAGAGAGAGGGGGGGGGGGAAGAGAGAGGGAGAGAGAGAGAAAGAAATCTACCGGGTGAACCCAGACCGCTGCGGAACGGATCCATTTGAACGCTAAAGTTTCGCTGGATCGTTACAAGCGCGCGTTTCGTTTGATGAATGACGCGCTCTGTCAACGAGCGACGAGGCCCGCGTACTTTGTGCCCGCGAAGAAAGTTGATATTGATGGGTTTATCTCAATGCGTAACGCCGCCGCGTAATTATATTGATGGGACTGGGCAATATTGCAACTATCGAACAGATAATTGGATGGCTTTACGGTGCGCAATGAATAATGCGGGGAATTTGTAATGTCGCGCTTATTGTTATAAGCGGGGGAAAAAAATATCGATCATCCCTCACGTCGAATCATTAGGTTATGAAGTCGAGTGGAGAAGCGCGACGCCGTAAAGAGCGCACCTGGCTAGACATTTTTTTACGTTTTAACAATTTCCTATTTTTGCCGCCGGCGAAGTGGCGGTTATTGCGTAAAGTTTCGATGAACGTGTATTAATAGCATCACTTATGACACGCGTTATTCCCGGACAATCGAGGCGTACGATTCAGCTATTACCGTCCTCGCTCATCGACTCATCTCGCTACGTCTTTTGTATCTCGCGTTTTAATTTCGTCTCGGCACTGATGCGCGTACGTCGACGCGGACAGCACACGATCGCGAATCGTGACTTCGATCCGGGGATGGAGGCCACTTTGAGTAAAGCCGATCGCGGGCGTCGCCGTTTCGCATCAAAGTGAAAACGCTGGGGTAAAGAGTGGCGCATGAACACGCTCGTAAGGACGAGGCGGACACAGATAAGCCCTGAGCCCAGGGCTACGTGCCTCGCAGACGAACGGGTGGCTGGGAAAAAAGAGGGATGGATGTTTCGCGATGGTTCTCGAGTTACCGCGCAAAGGAAGGGCAGGGGGTTCAGGGGGGTGGGAAAAGTTCCGCCTAACGTCTTGGAAGTGTCTCAAAAGGAGAACTCCGACGTCGGTCGGGACCCGGGCTCTAAGTGTATCACATAGTAAATTTAGTTTTCCAACCTCCGTTTCCACCGTTCCACTCTTATATTCTCCCGTTCCTCCCCCCTACCCTCTTTCCTTTTCGCGTCTACCCCTTTTCTCCGCTTCGTGGACAAGTCTCGGGAGTCGAGCTCGAATCGAGCTGTGGTGCCGATGCAGCCAGAACGGGGTTCCTTGTTCCAAGCCTTTTCTGGGGAGGGAATCGGGGGTGAGCGCGCGCGCACGCCGTGGTAGCCAACATGGCGCGGTGGAGTCTGGACCCGTTCGAGCGAATCTGGCCGATCAAACGGGGGCTAAGAGCCGCGCTTTCGTCCGGGTTAACTCAATCCACGAGCTTTCTATCTTCCCGATCTCCTCCTCCTCCTCCTCTCTCTCCCTCTCTCTCTCCCTCCCTCTCTCTCTCTCTCTCTCTCTCTCTCTCTCTATCTCTCTCCGCCACTTCCCTTCCGGCGCGTGTTATTCCTGACTACGTCCCCCGCCCCGCCGGTTCCACCTCCTGCCAGGGAGCTTCTCCCGCGCCATCCACGACCGTTCCAATCGATGAGCTCGCGACAACGGGCCTTTAGATACTTTTAGAAGCCTGTGCGGGCTCTTATTCCCCCAGGAGGTCAAGTCTCGATGGTTTTCTGATCGGGACTTCTCGGGAGGTTGCTCGATTTACTCGTGGCAGGACACTTTGCGGGGTGATTCGAAGAGGGTTGTACAATTTATCTGACGAAGCGCGAAGGGATGTTCTATATTAAAAAAAGATATGGTTCGAAAGTTTACACGCGCATCACAATTTGGAAATTATTTCGAAAAGACCGATCGCAAACAACGCCTCTGCAGAACCCACGTCCCTTTACTCCCCCCTTTCGCTTTTTATGACAATATGATGAGAAGGGACGGGTGTAACGCTTGGTCCCTCTTGAAAACTTTTAACTTTAATTAAAGCAACAAATAACACGTGTATTTATTACCGCGAGAAAAGGTTCAAAATGTTTGAGACTAAATTTCTTATCTCCGTATTTTCACCGCGTCATTGACGTCACTTCTCTGATGATCGCTTTCAATTTCTCGTTCTGTTAAAATGGGAAATCACCTGTTCCTCTCACCGGGCTGTCCTGCGACGGGGACGAGGACGGCGCGATGAGTTTCAAGAGGAATGAAATGAGCGCGAGCGCGCGACCGTGCGCCGCGTGTGAGTGCGACTCGTATCGGGTGTAATCGGTTTCCTCGGGGGGAATCCCACCCTCCCTTTTCTCTATCTCTCTCCGGATACGACGGCGTATCGGGGGGATAATTTGCGGCGTCTCGACGCGGCTGCGTGGTCCAATCCGCGATACCAGCCAATCGGCTCTCGGCTGCGCGGAGAGTCGAACTGAGAACAAAAGGATCCCATTCTCTCTCTCTCTCTC